ATATAAAGTGGAGGAAGATGGGCATGGATGTTAGCCCAGGGCCAGTCTTCCTCAGCAAAAAGAGGAGGATTGGCAGGTGTTAGCTCAGGGCCGATCTTCCTCACAAAAAAAAAAAAAAGAACTAGGAATGAATGTGATAAGCATGTGTAAAGCAGAAAATGGTTCAGATTCATATTCCGTCTAAATAATTAGACATTTCCTTGGCAAATATTGATCGAATATTTACCATGTGCCTGACATTCTTCTAGGGGAATACAGTGTTACCCAAAACAAAGTCCCTTTTCTCATGGAGCTTACATTCCAATGGGAAAGACAGCAATAAACACATGAACAAAAAATTAAGTAGTGATAAATGCTATTATGATAGCAAAAGAGGAAGATGTGTTAGGGAAAGATGGTAGCATTGTGAGGTTGGAGGGAAAGCTTCTTTTGACTGGGTGGTCAGGAAAGTCCTCTTTGAGGAGGTAACATTTCTGCTGACCCTGAGTGACAAGAAGCAAGCAATCAGATCTGGGGGAAGAGCATTCCAGGCAGTGAAGACAGCTACCATAAGGACATAAGACAGGAGCAAGCCTGAGTCTATAAAATCTGACCTACATATTTTTTCTTTCCAAATATAGACAAACTGAAATGCTATTTTGATAGAATAAAGTTCAAAGAAAATTCTAGGAAGAACCCAGAAGGAATTAATTTTGTGACTTGTGGCGTTCTTTCACTAGAGAGAGGATTAAGGAAGCTTAATTTTGTAGAAGCATAAATACTTCCCAAATGATTTTTGGTAAAACGTATGTGCCATGGCAAAAGGCATATTCAAAAAATATTTTAATTGGGTCATTCTCTATTAGAATTCTCAGAAATTTGACACATTTTGAGTCATTAGAAGAGTTTCCTACATTCATATTATTTTTTTAGCATAAGTTTTCTGATATTTAGTAAACAGTGAGTATAAGGCAAAAAGAATTTCCACATTTATTGAATTTTCTTCTCCAAGTGGTTTTTTAATTTCAAAAGGATGAGAACATTTTCCTCTAGAAATATGTTTATTTGTCAATTCATGCAGAGAAAACAGAACTTTCTATTATATTTTAAGGGCCTGGAACTCTAAGTAAAACTCCCTGTCTGAGTCAGAAGTAAACAATTATCATAAGTGTACTATAATAATATATATCTTTGTAGAACTTCAAAATTTGACATTTTCTTTAGATTAAGTATTTTTATATTCATTTTATATAAAAATAAACTGAGCTCTGAATTTTTTCACAGAAAGAATGTGATGTGTCCACAATAACGTAGTTAGTAGGTGGCAGAATTCTCTTGCTCTATTTAATAAACAAAACAACAAGAATTGATATTATAAAACCTCACCTGACAAAAAAAAAACTCTACATAAAAAGTTACAAATTATAAGTTGCTAAACTCTTATAAAATAATGAAATATTCCATGTATGCATCTTGAAATATTTCATTTCAAATCGATTTAAGATTATGGTACATCATTAGCACCTAATAGCACTTGTGTTCAGATTCAAATAATTAAATCACTCTATAGGTCTATAAATGGAAATATAAAGCCTGACCAAATTGTAGTTAAAACACATTTTCTCTTATATTTATTAACACAGAACCCCCTGTCCCACCCCTTTCCGTACTTCTCATCCTCTTCCTAAACCTTTGCAAATACATCTTTAATTTGAAAATACATCTTTAATAATTAAACCTAGATTAAGGTCCATACTAAAATCATTAGCACATAGATTATCATATTTATCACTCTATTATCAAGTCCAAGCACGTCTTTGTTTGAACTAAGCTCAGATGCCTTCACTACGGTCATTAATGCTTATCAGCAAATTATTTTGTACTTGAATTCCAAAAAGTAAGTTTAAATTTTACAACGCTTTAAATCAGAGCCCTAGGATTGTTAGCTATTTTTACATTACTATTTTTACATAGTTTTTGTAATCAAGACATAGAATATTAAATAACAACTTTTATTCTCAACAGAATTAAAAACTAAATTCCAATCCATGAATCTTCTGATTATTTTTCCTAATAGAAGATGTGATTATTTAAAATATAAATTAAATTTAGAGAAATGTGTATTAACAGAAGTAAACTTGCTAATGACTTCTATCCTCATATTTTAGTAAACATATTACAATATAGGTAGGCTTAGATTCCTTGAGTAATTCCTATAAGGAAAAAATTTAAAATTTGTTTTCAGATATTAATTTCTGAGGAAATTTCCTATTGCTCCCAAAAGTTACCTTGCATAGGCTCTCAGTGAACTGTAATTTTCATTTTCAACCTGGCAATAAAGCAGTAGGAATCAAATTTCTCTCTCTCTGCTTTCTGAGGAAGTAACTATGTCTATAACTGAGCCACTGTGCATACCTTTCTTGATTTCCCCTCCTCTCCATATGCTCCTCCAAGTATTTAACATAAGGTACATGAATTCTGTGTTGTTTTGTATTAGTGTGATGGCAACAATCAGAAGATTCTTGAATATCATCTTACTTTGAAGTTTAGCCTGGAAGCCACCACTTCTCCCGTTGGGGTAATTATGGGAACATTTTCACAAATAATTCCATGATCCACATCAATAACTTTTCCTATAAGTTAAGGAACAACTTAAGTTACAAAAGCTATCACATGTTATTGCTAATTACATAAATAATTTAAAGTATAATGCAGCATAACAGATAAATTCATTACAAAGATAATTCACAGTAAAATCAGAGAAACAAATGTAAATATAGATATTTATATCTACAGCAAAGTTTAATGTAAATTTAGACATTTTGACACATCTATTTGGAAAATCTTTCTCAGAAACATTACTTTGCAATAACCTAATGTCAACATCATAGTAAGAGCAAAGCTAAACTCTATGTGATATAACCCAGTGACACTCTTTACAACTACTTATTTCTCTAACCTTTCTTACAGAAAAAACATAGTACTGCAAAAAGGGAATTAAGACATGAAAAAAATATGATTTTTAAAAATATGATAACCAAACAAGTTTAAAAACACAGGATGATGAAGAACAATATGACATTAGTTTTAATTCTCTTACGTGCTTTTTTAAAAGCAAACAGTTCATTCTGCCACATGTGCAGTTTCCAAAAATAATTCTAGAAATTTTGTCCTAAATAAAAGTAACATAATATTTTTTTTATGGTAATGTTAGTCACCACTCCTCAAACTGCAATACTAAGTTTAGGAATAACTATTAAATAACTAAATGTCAGTTTCTTTTAACTGTTAAAAGCTATTTTCTGGCCTAGTGGTTAAGTTCAGTGTGCTCCGCTTCAGCGGCCCAGATTCAGTTCCCAGGCATGGACCTACACCACTCATCTGTCAACAGCCATGGTGTGGCAGTGGCCCACATACGTAAAGAGGAAGATTGGCAACAGATGTTAGCTCATGGCAAATATTCCTCAGCAAAAAGAGGAAGACTGGCAACAGATGTTAGCTCAGGGCAAATCTTCCTCAGCAGAAAAGAAAGGCTATCTTCTAAAAAATTTTGGTTCTGTTGATAAACACTTAAATATATGAAAAATATAAAAACATTTGAGTTTAATACCTTTGATTTTCAACGTATCGCTGAGGGGTAATTCTATGTTAGCTCCATTCTTGCTATGGTTTTCAGACTCTTGCATGACAGCAGTTCTCTTATAAATGCCTCTTTTTACTTCATCAAAGACCCAAAACATATTGTACACTCGAGCAGTATAGCCTGCTAATTCAGTGATCTAAAACCAATACAGAGAGATAAAATAGAGTTAATATACTCAAGACAGACTTTTAAATAAATATGCAATCATATAAGCTTCTTGATTTTATGTTAAATATCCTATTTTATTATACATGAAAAATAGATAATACATCTGATAACTAAAACAAGTCACAGTAAGAAGCTTACCAAGAGAGCAACATAATAATGTGTGAATGTAAGTTTGATGAGAGTTATAAAACACATAAAAATTATTCATTCAAGTCAGGGTTAAAAATGAAATGTAAAGATTTCAGAATATTAGTGAGACAAAAATCTTTCAGTCAAATTTCTAATTTGGGCCCTGTTTACATGACAAATTTCGTTTCCGGAAAATTAGAAATTTCATGAAAAGCTTAAGTTCATTCAATGAAATAATGATCCTTTATTTGGATATCTTTTTTCAATTTAAAATAGAAGATTTTAAATAGAATAAAAATACATTTTTTTTTCTTATTATGAAATGAATGTTTCTGAGTCAAATTGATTGTCAAAGCTCCTAAGATTGGCCAAAGAAAATACCCCTGCTAGAGGATACCAGTATTGGGAGTGAGCTCAGTGAAAAGCTTCAAATCCTTTTCAGTCCAAATCCCACAATTCAGCTTCTTTTCAAGCCAAGCATGATTTATATGCCCAAAGAAAAACATTAAATATGACTTTTTTTCTAGGTGAGATTATAAAATGAGATAAATCTCTGCTTTAGTCCATAAGGCTCGATAGAGTGGTGTCTTGCTCCTGTTCTGCCAGTTATCCCCAATTTAGGTTGAATCTCCCGCTGGTTTTCTATTAAAAGAACACCTTGTTATCAGGGTACTGTGAAAGGTGACTCACCTCCTGTCAAGACCATCTTTCTCAGTGAAAAGGAAAGCACAAAATCCATTCCCTTACAGAAATGTTTACCAGGAAATTGGTACCAATAAGCAAGGCATGTCACTTGTTAAATGTCTCTTAAACAATAAATTGTGGGATAATACAGCAATGCTTACATTTGTGTAAGATTTTTGTGTGTGCAAAGCTTAAGCAGTAAAAGAGTGGGTATGATTGTTAAAAGCCTTCTACCACGTCTCTACTGCGTGAGAGCTCTGTAATTAGATTAGTATTGCATTTCTATATGTTAATGTTATAGCTATTTAAAGGGTAATTTCTAAAATATTATCTAGAAGAATTTCTTGAGTTCCCAAATAGAGGAAAACAGAGCTAAGGATTAACAAAATACGGATTCAAAAGAAACCTGGGTAAATATATTTGCATAGAAAAAAAAATCCAAAACCAAATGTAGAGGTCAACTAAAGAAAGGGAGGAGGCAATGGGTTTGTAGACCAGGATGCAGGGTGGAGTGGGCAAAGAGTGTCCGAAAAAAACTGAGAATGTGACTGGACAAATTACTTTGGGATACAAAACAGGGGGTTTGCCCTGGGACTCTAAGTCTAAAAAGGAACCTTGTTCCTGCTGGAGCTAGCAGAGAACGCACAGGGCTTTCATGTGCTGTCACAGCAGTAATCAAGTTCTTTAGAAGTGAACATTCTATGATTCAAAGCACATTCGGCCAAAGTAGAGCAAAATGCAATCATTTCTTGTGTTGGAGACAATCTAGAAAAACTAACATATTCTTTCTGTGACTTAGATAGCAAAGTATTTTAAGGTGAGATGGATAAAATTTTGATTTGTCATTTAATTTTAATAAGTAATTTATTACATCAAAAAACCTACCCCCAAAACTGTCTGCAGATTATCAACATTAGTATTAGAAAATTTTTGGGCCGACCCCGTGGCTTAGCGGTTAGGTGCACGCGCTCTGCTGCTGGAGGCCCGGGGTTCGGATCCCAGGCGTGCACCGACGCACCGCTTCTCTGGCCATGCTGAGGCCGCGTCCCACATACAGCAACTAGAAGGATGTGCAGCTATGACATACAATTATCTACTGGGGCTTTGGGGGGAAAATAAATAAATAAATAAAATTAAAAAAAAGAAAATTTTTTAAAAATTGAGTTGTTTTGGTACGTGGCCTTAAACAACCTGTTTTACTTTTTTTAAAACCCAATTCGATAAATCAGTTGTTGAATGAGACTGAAAAGTTTTGTCAGCAAATCATAAACTTTGTAACTCTTTTATATGGCTTAATCATGGCTGATTTAATAGGTAGCTAAATTTATAATGATGCTTTGGTAATTTATATTGATACAAAAGCCACAAAAGTAATTAATAGTGGGAATGAGTGTCCATGGAAATATTATGTAAACTCTGAATTGAATTAAATGATTTTTAACCTTAACAAGTGTGATATCTGGAGGTCTTATTACCATTCTTTCAGCAAATATTTATTGACCACATACAATATTCTAAGCATTAAAATGGATATTAGGAACGTAAAGCTGAGTTTCCTGCTTTCCACTCAGGGTCTCATGCAGGTGACAGACAATTACAATGTGGAAAAGCACCAGATATACTGTGAACACAGAGGAGGAAGACCCAGACTCTGCAGGGAAGGCAGGAAGAAGGTGGTGTCACAACAGCGTTTATATGTGATTGGTGAAGCTTGACTTGTCATGAAGGATGAGTAAAAGTTTGCAAGGTATACCAGTAATATTATTGGTTAACATTTAGTGAGTGCTATATATATATATGTATTGTTTTAAATATTCTACACGTATTAACTCACAACAACCCTACAAAGTCAATGCTATCATTATCCCCATTTTACAGATGAGGAAACAGACACAGACAGGTTAAGGAACTTGATCAAGTTCACATAATTTGTAAAAACTGGAGGAAGAATGTAAATTTAGGCACTCTGGCACCAGAATCCACACCTAAGGGACTTTTTTTTAAAAATTAAAAACAAATATGTCATACTATAGACAGAAAAAGAGGAGTTACAGTTGACAGCATAAAAATTAAATTCAAGGGTATTAGCAGCAATACACTTGGGAGTTGCTGCCTCTTATCTTGATTATACTAGCAATTTTTGGTAGAGAAAAATAGGTTTCCAAAAGACTAAGTATTTCTGGTAATTTACATTTTGCTTGACTTTCATATATCTTATTTTGATCAAATTGACAACAAGAAACGCAAGTACCTCTTTGTAGGAAGACATAATCCTTTCAATAGCATCAGCTCCAGAGGCCAATAAATTTCGAGCAGTGGTAAAGGCTTCTGTCCGTTCACTAACCATAGCTTGTTTGGGGCCATCCTCTAGATCTAAAAGCAAATTACAAAACTATTGAGTTTTTTCAAGTAACTAAATGTTTTATTTTATACAAATGAAATTGTGGCTAAAACAACCACATGTAAATTTTTCACTAGTATCAGCAATTTCCTAGAGATTGAATGAAATTATTGAAAATACAGGGGCTGGCCCAGTAGTGTAGTGGTTAAGTTCACACACTCCACTTTGGCAACCTGGGGTGACAGGTTCGGATCCCAGGCACAGACCTACACATGGCTCATCAAGCCATGCTGTGGTGGCGTCCCAAGCACAAAAAATAGAGGAAGATTGGCACAGATGTTAGTTCAGCGACAATATTCCTCAAGCAAAAAGAGGAAGATTGGCAACAGATGTTATCTCAGGGCTAATCTTCCCTCACCAAAAGAAAAAAAAAATAAAATATAATATTTGTACCAGATTTTATTTAAAGCTTTCTTTTGTTTTATTATTTTTTTAGAAGGAGACTTGGAACAATTAAGTCTATAGGAATTAAGACTACTTTCATTTAGCATTCTTTTAACCCTTTCCAAATTCAACTCCCTGCCTTTATCACAGCTAGGCAATAAAATAGTACTGATTTGGTCAATAAAATACTACTAACTGGAATATAAGCAAATATTTCTAGTGTGGTTCCTTTAATAGAAATGCTAATTAGCTGATCCTCATAATCTAGCCTCGGTCTACCTGTTTCAACCAACTTTCACCCTACAGTCCGGCAGCACCTCAAACATGCAATACTCTATTTATCTCTGATATTTGCATATATGATTTCTTCTGACTTTAATATACTTCCCATCCTTTTTTGCCTAGTTCTTTCTTCAAGAGTTAACTCTTTAGTAAAGGTTTCCCTAGAAACCTTTGACTGGTTTTTCCAATGGACTTTAAGTTCTTTAAGGGTCAAGACTGTGTGTTTTATTCTTTATCAGCAGACTGTCTAGCACATAGTACTCCTTAATGTGTATTGAATGGATGGATGGATGGATGGATGGATGGATGGATGGATGGATGGATGGATGAATGAACATCTAAATTACTGTCAATGCAGAATTATGGTTAAAAGAGTCAGGAATCAGACTAGGTTTGAATCTAAGCTCTACTACTTATTGGCAAGTAGTAAGGTAAGTAGAGCTAGCCACTTATCCTCTCCATGCCTATTTTCTCATGTGTAAATGAGGGAAATAATAATACTGTCTGAAATATTTATATCTCAAAGAGTTGTTGTGAGGTTTAAAAGTGAAATACAAATGAAGCATTAGCCTAATCCATGGCCTATAATAAGTGCTATAAATGTTAGCTGTTATTATTTTCTCTAGTTATTATTGTTATTATTGCATATCTACTCAATTAAGTCTTATTCTTCAAAATTATTCTCTCCAGGTCACTACTTTAATCTTTCCATCAATTTGAGTCTTTATGTGGTCGTTCTATAGATTATCTCCAGAGTTCTACATTAAACCCTGAAAATTAATGAAGAGATTAGAATGATATAGATAGCCATAGGCTCACTTTGATATTTATTGCTCTCTGATTTATCTCAGTGTAAAGGTTTTTTTTTTTTCCATAACAGTGCAAATATTTAACTTGTGCCCTGCTATGACTACCAGATAATTTCACCTTTACTTGCTCATAGACAGCTCAGCTGAGTTTGAAAGGGATCCATGCATTATTTAAGGTAAAATGCACGCAGCAGATATTTAATGAACACCTAGATCTGCAAGAAACTAGGCAAGGTGCTATAGGACATGCAAGGATAAATGTGATTTTCAGACTCTTTCCACAGCGAGCTTATAGTTTGGTAGGAGAGAGAAGATAAGTTCCCAAATAACTATGTAGGGCAGCCTATGAAGAGAGTTAATGTGAGGTGTTTAGAGGAGACAAAGATCATTTCTTGCTGCAAGAGATAGGAAATGCTTCACGGAGGAGTAGGCTGTGAGTGAGGCCTTGAAGACCACATACAATTTTAATAGATCATAAGTACAGCATGAGCAGTGGCATAGAGAAAGGAAATTTCAAGCAATGCCACCTGAATGATAAATAGCCTGATCAGGTTACAGTATGTGTTGGTGTCAGGCACTGATTTCACTTGAGTATCAGAATCTCCATGAGTTCATGGGGAATTTTTACAACAGTCCAATATGGTCCCTCCTAGCCCTACTGTTATCTCTGCTCCAGAGAACTACTTTTAATTCCCTCGAAGTTAGTTAGCTAGTTTCCTTGAAGAATGAAAAAAGAAAGGCTTTGAGCACTGGTATAAGTGAGGAGTGAAAAATGTGATTGGATAAATAGGCTGGGAACAGAATGTAGATATTCTTAACACATTTAAATGTGTGATAAAATTTAGACAGCCACAAAAAAATTACCAAAGGATTCTCAGCAAGCTACCAAAATAGTGAATTGCTGTATCAGTTAAAGCACTAAGAATAGTTTTGGCTCATAGAGAATCTGGCTGATGATCTAAAACAATTATGGGATTTTATGAATTTGAGTTAAAAGAGGTTTAAATAGTAGCTTTCATTGACAGTCTCTGTTAAGAAGAAAAACACCAGCACAGATGAACTGGTGTTTGATATGGCATAGTACTTTCCATGTTGTTTTGGCAGATTAATGCCTATTGGGTTTTCTTCATGCTTTTAGCAACAAAATTACAAATAGCTCTGGAAAGATTTCATTTGACTTTTATTCTACTGGTTGTTCTTTGGAAGGTACTGTGAGAGCAGTGCCAGTAGTATTTTACCATGCACACAACAGCCAACTGCACAACCTGTGTGAGAAGGCCAGATTCCTTAGTGTCAGAGATATAAATTCATGAACTAAAGCACTCACCTATTTTGTATCCTAGGTCAACACATTTTATTTTCCTCACCAAATATTTTAAATATTTTATCAAAAGTTCCTCATTTGGGGGTGAGTCCTGTGGCGTAGCGATTAAGCGTGCATGCTCCGCTGCTGGCGGCCCGGGGTTCGGATCCCGGGTGCGCACCCATGCACTGCTTGTCAGGCCATGCTGTGGCGGCATCCCATATAAAATGGAGGAAAATGGGCACAGATGTTAGCCCAGGGCCGGTCTTCCTCAGCAAAAAAGGAGGAGGATTGGCATGGACGTTAGCTCAGGGCTGATCTTCCTCACACACAAAAAAAAAAAGTTCCTCATTTAAGGATTTAATATTTAACATTATATCTGCTCATTTTACTGCTACTTTTCAGCTCTGCTAATAATGAGTATATATTGAAACACGGTCACATCTGTTGCTGTTTCACTGAAAAGGTGAGAAAGGATTTAAAACTAAGGTTATGTCATTATTTGTCAAAACCCATAGGGGGCTGGCCCCGTGGCGTAGTGGTTAAGTGCGCATGCTCTGCTGCTGGTGGCCCAGGTTCAGATCCCAGGCATGCACCATCGCACCACTTGTCAGACCATGCTGAGGCAGCGTCCCACATAAAGTGGAGGAAGATGGGCACGGATGTTAGCTCAGAGCCAGTCTTCCTCAGCAAAAAGAGGAGGATTGGCATGGATATTAGCTCAGGGCTGATCTTCCTCACACACACAAAAAAAACCAAAACCCATAGAACTGTACAATACAAAGAGTGAACCTTAATGTAAACTATCGACTTCAGTTAATAATGTATAAATATTGGTTCATCAGTTATAACAAATGTACCACACTAATACAAGACGTAAATCATAGGGGAAATTGTAGAGTGGAGGGAACTTTGGGAACTCTATACTTTCTGATCAATTTTTCTGTAAACCAAAAACTGCTCTAAGAAAATTAAGTTTAGGGCTGGGCCCTGTGGCTCAGTGGTTAAGAGAGCGTGCTCCGCTACTGGCACCCGGGTTTGGATCCCGGGCGTGCACCGATGCACTGCTTCTCCAGCCATGCTGAGGCCACCATCCCACATACAGCAACTAGAAGGATGTGCAATTATGACATACAACTACCTACTGGGGCTTTGGGGATAAAAAGGGAAAAAAGGAGGGGGATGGGCAATAGATGTTAGCTCAGAGCTGGTCTTCCTTAGCAAAAAGAGGATGATTAGCATGGATATTAGCTCAGGGCTGATCTTCCTCACAAAAAAAAAAAAAAAAGAAAGAAAATTAAGTTTATTAATTTTTTAAAAATTAAAAAAGTAGGCTATTCTTCTGTACTTTTCTCTTTGGAATTATTATCTGAGTTTATTTCTTTTCATTTATGTTTTATCTTTGTCACCTTAACAAATCTCAGCAAAAACTTATGTCCTTACCTACCTCATACCATATGTAAATATCAATTCTAAATGGATTGATGATCTCAATGTGAAATGAAAACGCAATAAATTTCTAGAAGATAAAATAGGAGAATATCTTTACGACCTGAGGTGAGGCAAATATTTCCCAAACAGGACAATAAAGCACTAGCTACAAAGAAAGTGATTAATAAATTGAACTATATTAAAATTATGAACTTCTCTTAGACACTGTGAAGAGACTGAAAAGGCAAGAACAGAGTGGGAAAAGATATTTAAGATTGTCTGTGTGTATCTGACAAACTACTCATTACAGACTACATAAGCTCTATAAATCAATAAGAAAAAAACAGATAAGCCAATTTGAAAATGAGGAAAAAAATTATTGGTGCTTCATAAAAAAGGCTATCCAAGTGGCCAATAAACGAATGAAAAGTGCTTAACCTCTTTAGTCATCAGAGAAATGCAAATTAATACTACAATGAAGCACTACTATACATTCATAAGAATGCCTGAAACAAAAAAGATTGACATAAAACGTTGACAAATATGCAGAGCAACTAAAACTCTCATACGTACTGTATGATGCTATTTATATAAGATTCAAAACCAGCAAATACTAATGAATGATCAGTAAAATTATTGCCTTTGCCATAGCATGGGGGCAGGGGCAGGGGCAGGGGCAGGGGCAGGAGTAAGTGGGAACGGGGGTAGGGGGCTGAGGATGAGGATAAGACTGGGAAGCAGCATGGGAGCTTCTGGGATGAAGGTAAGGTTCTATTTCTTCTGAGTGGTGGTTATGTGTATATGTTGACTTTGTGACAGTTCACTGAGTGGTACACTAATGATTGTGCCCTTGTGGGCATGTATGTTATACTTTAAAAATTATAGCTACTTACACGCATAGCTAATTACAGCTAAAAGGTATGTCTTTGATATGTATTGATATTTACTGCAACAATAATTGGTCAAAAGGAGAGTAATCATATCCAAACTGATCCAAATACAAATTATATTTCAATAATTTGGCATTAGAATATGAAACATACTAATGCAGAAGGAGCTATGGATATAATCTTGTTGGAGGTGCATTTTAGGAATAAAACATCACCCATGTCACCCATGATGGTAGAGTTCAGTTCCATTTCTAAGAGTAGTATCTTTCAGTTGCTCCTTCCGATGTGCCACCTCACACTAGCAGATCACCCACATGCAGACACTATTGGCAGTGCTAGTGGCTTAGGTGCTCTCCTCACTACCTGTTAGGTGTCTGTGATAAGGTCTGGCAGGAGGGACCTATATGTAGCTTTACCTGGCATTGCCCGGAACTGCTTTTGATATGAAAAGAAGAAAAGTGGCCTATAACACTAAAAAATTGAGATTATAGTCCCAGGTAACTATTTTTTTCACATAATTTCAATCTTTCTCTTAATACAAAGCAAAAAAAAGGGGGTAATGTCCTCTAAAAAATATAATAGAAACTATCCATAATTAACTATATTTCAATGCCTCTATTTCAACCATTAGGTCTCATTATCGCTTGGTCTCAAACTAAGTTAAATCCCTTACAGAATAAGTTCCAATATAGCTAATATGGAGGCAGCATGGTGAAGGGAAGAAAAGCAATGCACTAGGAATGACATAATGTCTTCTATCCTTAGTGCTTCTACTAACCAACCGTGTGACCTTGGGCAAATCAGGGGCTCCAGACTAGATGACCTGTAAGCTCTTCTTCTCGTGTGAAAATGGCATGATTCCATATGCAATTTTGTAATGTGAACTTGAATATAAACATAATCCTATCCTAACCATAAGATTTCCTTAAAGTTGTAGGTTGATGGTATAACAAATCTACTACAGAACTATTTTTCTTTTCTCCTCCAAAAAAAATTACGCAGGCTTTTCCTTCTATCTGCATTTTCCCCTCTGGCATCCTAATCACTTTCAGATACCTTGCTCCTTTAACGACAATAATCATGCCAGCAAACATCTATTGAGCATTTTCTATGAGGCAGGCATTAAGTTTTACATATGTGCACATTAATCCTCATAACAACCCTGCTATAATTTCCCCAATTTTGGAAATGAGGAAATTGAAGCAACCAAAAAGGTTAAATGATTTGCCCATAGTCATAGCCTAGTAAGCAAAAGAGCCAGCATTTGAACCCTGGCAATCTGACGCCTGAGCACACATGGTCAAGTATGATAAATATTAACAATGCATCCACCTAAGTTCTTACTACTTGCCAAAGATTGTTTCAAAGCACATTAAATACATTATATATAATTTCATAACAATTCTATAAGATATATATTACTATCCCTACAGTTAATATAGGAAAACGGCATATAAAGTTTACGCAACTTTCTCAAGGATGGATAACTCAAATAGCAGAGTCAAGATCTGAACAGTGGCCTGCTTCTTTATTCTATTCTCTTTTTTCCGTCTATCCTACTTTTTTGTCCCTTTTCTCTTTGCCATTCCTCTCTCATTCACTCATTTTTTTCACCTATTTTTGCCTTAAAATATACAGTATCATGCACTTAATTGATCTCTAACATAAGGGACAACTCAGGGCATAAATGTAAATTAAGGCTGAAGACTAAATTAGAATACATGGTATGTAATTCCAAGACCTAAACCCTCAAAGATATATCATTATCTAAAAAAAAAAATTTTATATGAGTAAAAAGATAACAATATTTTCATGTGTTAAATCATTGTAGGTCAAATATATTTAGTAAATACATACATACAAACATTATAAGCATACATATAGTAATAGAAATTACAGAAGATATTGAAGCATGTTCTCATAATAAAGTTATCATATGAATTCATTTTCTTCTATGAAATTCTTATATTGCTTCTCTTTATATAAAATTTTCTTTTGAAATGAAGCTGTAAGAATTACTGTAGGGCCGGCCCCGTGGCTTAGCGGTTAAGTGCGCCCTCTGCTACTGGCGGCCCGCGTTCGGATCCCGGGCGCGCACCGACGCACCACTTCTCCGGCCATGCTGAGGCGGCGTCCCACATACAGCAACTAGAAGGATGTGCAACTATGACATACAACTATCTACTGGGGCTTTGGGGGGCACAAAAAAGGAGG